TTAACTTTGAAAATCTTGAGCTTCATCTTCCGTTGGAAGATGCTGGCTTGCGCTACCCATTTCGAAATACAGAGACACGTTGGTCTCATCACAAGTACAAATCCCCAAGAAGAAACCAGCATTCTGTATCACATGGAATGTTTATGACTTCATATAAGATGTCACGTATGCATTTAAGGAGCGCCATACTGTAATTTTCTATTATAAACTTCCGAAATGCATACAAAAGAGACATATAAAACGGCCAGTGTAGCCCACAACATAATCCCCTTCTTCAAGTGAACAGTATCCTATTACTTTTGCAGACCTTTTAGAGCAGTTCCCTTTCAGATCAAGAAAAAAATCATCAAGTGAACAAGCCAATATAAAAGAGCGCTCTCGCCTTAACGGCAAAGAGCGGTTCCAAAACTCTTTGACATTTCCCCCATTCTCAACCAGTAGACGACAAGAAGTTATACATGGAATGATTTATTTGTTGGCTTTGGATCAACAATCGTGATGATCTGACCCTGCCCATCGCAGCTAAGCGCAACTCTTGGCAGGATTAGTTCGCCTTGACAAGAAGGAGCGTCTTTCTTGCCGAGTCGGCGCTGACAGGACTCCACGTCATGATCGAGTACAACCTAGCTCTGGTCATCGTAATGTAGCCTATGGTAACACTGCAAGCGATTCTTGTAGCTGCGAACTACGTCGGGGACAACAAACTGTAGGGCCTGACAAAGTTCCCATGGGTCCGAGTCCGATGGATAGCCGCGCCACCAAACTCTGTAGAAGCATTGGTGGTTCACCTGCTTCTTTTCATAATGTCGAGTTGATCGATCCTCGCGAGCGAAAATCGTCTTAATCACCCCGCAACGATCTTCAAGAGAATCTGATAGCGGAGTTGGGTTGAACGTGACAACGATCGAGAGACTTTGGAAGTAGAAGTGCGCTCATCGCGGGCAAATTAAGCATTGCAGCAGCGTTGATCGACGCTTAAAGATTGCTGTGAGAGCCTTTCGAGCCTTGTTGCAGAGCAGAACTTGAAACTCGATGTGTTGTCTGGTGATTCCGCCCAATGCTTGGCTTTGCACCCGTCTTGAACTTCGGTTCCAGCAGGTTCGTGATGGACTTATTCGCCTTCGGAAGGACGAGAAGTCTCGTGACTTGGCTCACAAACACCCGTTGCGCTTTGTCGGAGACGCAGTCTATGTTATCGAGATATTCCATGGTGAGTACAACTCTCACCTTCAAGCGTTGATATCAGTGAAAGAGGAATCCTTTGGTGTCCTGCAACGCTTGTACGCCAATAAGATTCTCCAGAATGAAGGGCTGGTTGCTCTTCGCTGAAATTTTTTATTGTCAACCCGATCATCTACCAACGGTATAGCAGGATCGGCAGATCCACTCTAGAGATACGACTTGATCCTACCCACATAAAATATAGGATGTAGGCGCATGCGTGTAGGAACACTAATGTATACACATCATCATTGCATTTCAATACCTTGAACGGCTCAATGATACTCGCAAAAGTCCTCTGCTTCTCGAGTTGGAATGCATTTTCAAGCAGATATGTCGTGCTTAGTAGCATAAGATCATTAACCATATACACCTTCTTGTTCTTCCTTTCGCTCTCATCTGCTTGTCCTTTATGCAGATCGTGAGCTTTCGCAGTTGCATCTCGAACAAACCGAACAACGGCTTGTCTCTTCATAATTTAGGCATCGACGTGTTGTTCCACACGACCTGTCATATCGTCTACAGGTGTCATTGAGTCATAATTTTAAATTCTTTGGCAGCATTAAGGTCTGACTATGGCTCTATAGCCAAAATTCCCCCCTTGAGCTCACTCCATTTTTAGAGCGACGAAGCGTACCTACGCAATGCGTCCTCTAGAGCTCGATTCCCACGCTCTACTACCCGTTTGAGAATGTACCGCTGTTGACGCTCACAACGTGGTGCACAATAGTCTAAACAGTGCACACCAAAACTTCGACATCAAAACGAGTCAGACGCGATCTCAACAAGAAGGCCACGTAGACGGGAAACAGCGTCTACAAAAATCTGAGCTGTGTTTTGGCATAGATCCTACCCGATACAGGCGCAAGATGACTCATCTTGCTGATTTAGTCCACTGACACAAGGATGCCACTGCGTGCATGTGTGCCACGCAGAAGTCTGTATATGTAGTCTGTACTCGCAGACTTCCAGCAGTCAGATGGCGCTGCCACCGACCGATGTGGGGGCTGATAGGATATCGATTGTTTTAATATCTAATTAGTTTCACAAGTCCTCACAAACTTGCGCTCCCACGTGTACGTGTGTGCCTAAAAGCAAACTTAGAAAAGACTGAGAAATGTTTTTTCACGTCCGAGATGACTGCCCGAAGAACTGCCATGATACTTATATAAAAGACGATGACGCAAACCTTCGTCATTTGGAAGAACAACTCTTGCTGTATTACGTGTTTAACCGCACAGTACAACAATTTACTCCAGAACGATGAGCACACGATCTTGAGCGGGACGGGAGAGCTAGCAGCGCTTTGTCGGAAATGTCTCAAAACTCCTTGACATGTCGAATCGGACTCGTACCTATCGACAATTTCTTCAAGCACAAAGCCGTAGCTTGCACTTAGAGGTCCGAATACTTTGGCGCTGTCGAAATGATGCGCGAAAGTTTTCGCTGCTGCACTTTGGATCATAGTCCGGACGTCTATACAACCCATCGCGTAAAGCTTTCGTCTTGCCTGGCTTGTAGTGTAGAACAAAGTTGTACTTGCAAGAAGAAAAACCATCGAGCCATTTTTTGCGATATATGCCGAGACTCGACTGCCGTATGCCGCCTGGCATGATCCGTACAGATCGCAAAGCGCTCCCTCCAAATAAGTCCACACGAAACTTTACCAATGCATACTTCATTACTAGAAGCATTTTATAACGAATTGTATAATAACGCTTTGCGAATCAAAGTTGTCGCGACTGATACGTATCCACTCACTCTCGACCCTCATCGTCGTGTTGCATGCGCGCACAACCGATGGCATAATCAGACCACATCAAAAGGTTTATCGTGATTCGCAGTCACATGGACAGGAGCTTCTCTCAAACTCTTCTTCACTTCAGCTGATGATCTTTTGACCATTCCAACAAAACTTTCTTCTTTGACAATGTCGTTAGAGTTTGTACCAGTGCTGCATAATTGGGCGTGTATATGTGCAATTAGTTGACCAAGCCCAAATATTGTCTCCGCTTTTTCACATTGTCTGGCACGGACCATCCATTGATAGCTTTGACTTTCTGTGGATCTATACGACCGTCATTCTTGTCCGCAAAGCAACCGGAATGGAGATTTTAGGCTCAAAGAAAATGCACTTTTTCATGTCGGCGTAGCTTTCATTCTCTTGCATAACTTGGAAGCCTTGACAAAGATGATCAAGATGGACGTCGACATCAATCAAACTTATCATCGAGGTCGAGAGAAATTTTCTCGTCTTTACCTAGGAATTCCTCAAATTTCATTACCAAGCGAATGATTTGTTCTGGCATCGTTATTGTAGATCCATTCGCTGAGCAAATAGTTCTGAGCGATAAAACCTGGCATCCTACAATGAAAATACTTTCGATGGATGCGAGAATGCTCATATGCAGGCGTGGAAATGTACGAGATGACCATTCGATCTGGACCATCACTGAACTAGTCGACTGGCGCGCTTGCCTTGGCACGAAGCCATTGATCTTGTGAGCCCTTCTCGCATCGCGCGGTTGATGGCATCGTTCAGCGTCTTGGGATGCTAACGTAACAGCTGACTCCGGATCAGACCGTCATCTCAAACCCGCGATAAACATCACAACTTGCGTTTAAGCGTCAACTGGCTCGTCGACAATGATCAATACATAGTAGCGAGCAGGCTGTGCATACGAGTGTAAGTCGTAACGACCTTGACGAAGGTTCAAGAACTCGACACGGGTTCGAAATGCACTCTGTGGTGGTTCAAACGTCTTTTTAAGCTCGATCTTAACGTATTCATAATAGGGAGAGCAGGTTAGATCGGGTAAACGCTTACCATACGCGTAACACTTCGCACCACCCATAAGGTTGGACATTGCGAGCAACGGGTCTCGAAGTTGTCTTGCAGTGATTGATGCATCCAAGTGACCACAGCAGCTTCTTTGATGACTTCTCGCATCCGCTCGAGTGTCATCCACACAGGCAAAGACAAATGAGGAAACATGTTAACACTTCAATTTGCGGTACTGATGGTCCGAGTGTACTCCAACTCCCTCCATGTCGCTCGGACAAGGACATCAGTATGGTTTAAACTTGAATATGCAACGTGCTCATCAGTCGCATCATCAAACTCAAATCAAGTGTCGTTCAGAGACCGCTCGAAGCGCTACCAGGTGTAAGAGGCGCTGTTCACAACAGTCCCTCAAGCTCGACACACACGCTTGTGCGACGAAAATGCGATTCTTGACGTCGAGTCAAAAGGACAGCCCGACTTGGAGGGAAGGAAAACGACTTGAGGCCAGAAGTTGAAATAGTCAAAAATGGGGCGTCAGCAAATTAGGCACAAAACGTCACATTTGGTCACAAGCTATATCGCAATTTGGAAAAAATAAAGAGCTAGTTCTGATAACACGCAGTGGACTCATACTTCTGGATATCCTGGAACGCGCACTTGTCTTAGCGGCAGACCGGGGTGCGGAAGAGATAGCGTGCGTCTTCTGTATGCTTTACCTGCATTGAAGAGTGAGCTAATTCTTAATCTACGACTTGTAGCTTTGCGATAAACAACGTAAGCCCTTATCACATCTGACGATAGAAACGTCATGGCAAAGGGCCGGCAAGATGACAGATCCACAATGAACATAGCCTCGACAAAAATGGACATGGCTCAAAGCCATTCCCTAAATCTGGCTCCTGAGGTCGCGGTACAGCCTCCTCGGACTCCTCGAACAAGGCCAATCTATCCTACAGTCGATGACGGGGGTATCAGTGCTGCTCAACGTGTAAGAATGGAGCTATCCAGTTACTCTGGCAAAAAGTCTCAATTGGGTCGCCGAACCAATAGTTCTGAGGATGTTTTTGCGATAAAATCGCCCTTGTTCGACGAGAAGAAGAACGGGCCGAGGTCTTGTCCGACCAATTTTCAAGATAAACGTGCGGTTTCAACCATATTTTTGCCAAATAAACGACAATCCAAACCAAGAGGGGAACTTATTGCATCTAAGTTGCTACCGACTCGCGATCGTATTGATAATATGCTTACATATATGCATGAATTGCAAGTATCAGAGGCCAGCCTGCAGAAACAATTGATGACAACAAAACGACATACAGATGAAGAGTTAAACCTTTTGATGTCGAAACTTGATGAATTGCAGCGGACGATGCAGAATGTTGAGAGGGAGAGACAATCAACTCAAGCGAGATTGAAAGAGAAGGAGAAGTGTATTCGTAAGCTTGCAGCCAAGTTAAAAAAAGCAAAAGCTACTCAACCTAAAAGAAACACTTTTGTACGTAAATGTGGTGTTCCTGATGATTCATTGCCATCAATCGCAGAAGAAGACGCTATGGACGAAGATAAGAAATCGCCCACCGTCGAACAAAGTCGACTAACAAACGTATCGAAACGAGTAGACTCTTTGGTTGACATATCAGCACTTCCTAAAAAAAATGATTTTGCGAGTAAGGCAGCCATTGATGATTTTCATCGATCTCAGTTACAGCTCAACGAGGAAATCACTGAGTTAGCTTCACTCTCACCACGCTCTCTAAACCGACCCCTTTGGGACCCATGGGCATCGGGTGGTACTACTCCAATGGAAAATATGCCTCCGGTCTTTACGATCGCTCCAACAGAGCTATACGCCAAAGCTACTGTTGTGTCGACTGATATTACAAAGCCAGTCGCTATGAATGTGGAAGATGACGAGCTCAAATCAGTATTGATGTCCTCAAGTTCCGCATCAGTAAAAGACACTGTTATGCATAATAAACAGCAGCACACCCCTTTGGTTGTGACACTCGAGCGAGAAGAGGGTGCTTTTGCCAAATCACAGTGGCTTGCTTCTGCAACCAATGCTGGCTCGTCATGCTCGCGTTTAAATCAGCAACCTCCAAGAGTGATGGAAGCTCAGATTGAAGATGGACAAAATACGACAAAAGACAGTGCAATAACCGAGTTTTTGTCACCAAATGACTCAGTGCTATGCATTAAACCAATGCCTTCAATCTGCGAGAGCTCAAACGAGCTCAAAGGGAACTGTTCTGCTGTTTTGGATGATAAGGCACACAGTCAGATAAATCAACAAAATTTTCAATCACCCAAGGTCGCCTTTCCGTCAAGTAGCTCTGCAGTTTCTCCTTCCACAACTATTGCTAAACTATGTTCCACCCTGACAGGGCAACAAGCTGAAAGTAACAGCGTTCCGAAGAAGATAGATTTACAAGATCGTGAGGGAGCTCTTGGGATCATGAGTCCAAATGTTGCACAAAAGACCAAAGTCAATTCCTATCCTTCTTGTGCGAGTTTGAATACTCTTGTCCACGCCGCTTCACATCAAAATAATGATAAGGCCATAACTGGAGAACTTGAGGCACTGTTGACTGATTTCTTTGCAGAAGTGGACAAAAAACGTGTGAAAATGGCGACAGTATATGGAAAAAGGTATGCGGGTCGCGAAAATCGCCTATTCGCTGAGCTGACAAAGCGATACGGCGCAGCAAAAGTGGCTGCAATGAAGACACGATATGAGAACAGTAAGCACGCTTCTACATTCAGGAACAGCGGTGGCAGCGAAAATGAAGACAATAATGCAACCAAGTTATCAAATAAGTCGGATCATGCAATGATAAGCGCTCTACAACATCAAAAGTCCTTGCAATCTCCTACTCCAGACAGTGATGTTAACGGCCATGTCCCTTATTTACCCTCCGATTCCCATTCGTCTGCAAACGTTCATACACCAAGCAAAGATCGACGGAAAGAGGCAAGAAGAGCTGATTCTGGATTGAGCCCGAGTGGAGAAGATATGACGGACCTTTTGAATCATGCGTCATCACAACGTTATTCTGTGAACACTATTCCGCCTTCGACGAACCCAACTCCATCTGTTTTAACTTCAAAGACGAGTCGTAAAAGTGAGGATACGCTTGTGAAAGGAATAGATGGCTCACCACGGATGAATATTTCCCAATCAATTCAGTTTAGTGCACCATCTAGTGCGTCATCTCATCAGTCTGGGATGCAGACGAGCGATGCTACCTTTCCAGAACTCTATCAACGCCATGATGCATCTGAAGAGAGTAACAAAGATCAGACAAATAAGCCTTCTACTTCAACCTTTGAGGGCCTACTAGAGGACTTGTACAGACACCATCAGCCTGACAAGATAAACCATGCATCTATTATCGTGAAGCAGTATGCCGGAAAGGAGGGGGAGCTTGTTAAACTGCTTAAAAGAAAATATGGTGCATTGAGCGTGAAGCGGCTTGAAATAAAGTTGGAGGTGCTAAAGCAGGCTCACAAAGCCCGCACTGGTGCCAAAATGGCCTGTCAAAAGCGCAGTCGGTTTTTTATAACCATTTCGTTTACATTTTGGCTTCTGGCGCTTTTGGGTGTGTCCTGTATTGCTTTATTTGTCAGTTTCGTCGCGTTGGATGCTTGGAAATGCCATGCCGTTGGCAAAGTCCAGCATAAATCTGAAGTAACAGATAAGTGTTTTTTGTTAAAAGATAATCTGGAGAATTTTACGTACGAGCGAGTTGCTGACTACATGAGCCGATCTTACCCAGATATTTGCTATTGTTCAGAGTTGAAAGCTCGCCAAAATGCTCTGTTCGAAAACATTTCACTTGGTAACATTGAGGATCTGGTAAGGCTGGCAGCGTTTTCTCCTAACTTTCCTGGCAGATCATGGATCGAAAGGTTAAAGGAACAAAATGTAATGAAACCTGCGGCTGACTTATTGCAAAGTTTTCGATCATTTGGCTGGCCCGCTCTTCTAGACTTTAGAGGAATCAGCGATGACTCTGAAAAAATTTCCCAGTCCACTAAAGATGTAAACAATAGCGTTGCTCATACTTTACCGTTGGTCAATAACAGAGAAAGCAATGATTACACGTTGAAGCAACATGCCAAAACTAGGGAAATCGAGATCGAAGCAGAAAGTGATGAGCAAATGGCTGACGAGATTAGAGCTGCAAGTGGACTTGATACCTTAGAAGAAAGCTCAATTAGAGAACACCTTTTCGATAAAGCTGACGTCACGGCGAAGAAGACATCAGAGGAGGATATACTGACCGAACAACAATTTGTAGCCATCGTCGAAGAGAGTGTGGCGTTTCCATCAAAAGCTAATGAATATTACGATGTGAAGGAATTAGTTGACGTGGCTGAGCCGGACGAGACGTTATTTCTCGTAAAGCCTGATGGATTTATTACAACCAAAGCTAAAGTGGATGATACTAAAAATGACGCAACCAGGACACACACGCAGCACGACTCTGATTTTAGCCTGTTGGAGAAAAATGGATACGTTGAAGGCGACGGTAATAAGGCTGCTTCTAACATAAAAGCATTTGGGTCCGTAATTGCTTACTGCGAAGTGCCAGATCTTGCGAAAATGACAATCGCAAACTTGTCTTACGAGAGGAATGCAGCTGAATTGACTAACGTCGTAGAGAATGAAGTCCGCCAGAAAAGCGTGAGCTTGTCGCTGCCCGATACAGAAGTTGATGTACTGGAAATGGCCGCTGAATACACCGAAACTTTATTTTCTGGTTCGGCGAAAAACTCTGAGCTGTTGGTGATTGATAAGGAGGAGGCTAACAAGGTCAAGCTGGATAGCGATTTTTTGGTGGATGAGCCTGAGTCAGTGCTCCATGCTGCCGACCCCACGATTGTGGTTGGTACTGACGTCAACATCGAAAAAATCAAAGAGGATCACTTTAAGTCTGACAGAATCGTATATGAGAAGCCCCTAGCGATCAAGAATACAGAAGCATTGATCGCAACAATAGTACCTCATATAAATGCTGAAAGTGACGAGGACAATGAAGAGGAAAAAGAGTTAAGAATTATGGAAGAGCTCGACAATCCCGGTGAATTGCTTCGCATGGCTGAACGAGCTGCTGTTGCTGAGCTTTTAGCGATGGAAATCTAATAGTGGAAGTACGTGTCGCTGTCGCTTTACCGCATATCTGCTGAAATGTGTCCACACAAACGCTTTAAACCAATTCTCTTGATTTGAATGTTGTTTTCATTGAAGTCTAGTCAAATCTTTTCTCTTTCTTCGCGTCTGCCCTAGCATGTTTGGCTTGCAAGACCAACTTCACATGTCTAAAAGCAGGCGGCGCGGGTCATTGATGGCTTCAGCGATGGTCTTTAATAGCGTCACACCTTCTCGCCCATCAATTATGCGGTGGTCATATGTGAGCGAAAGGAACATCATCGGGCGCGGTACAACTTTGCCCGCAACCACCGCAGGTCGCATCTTAACACCATGCACTCCAAGTACCGCCGACTGTGGTGCCGCCAGCATTGAGGTGCTCAAAAGCGCTCCATTCACGCCATTGTTTGATATCGTAAAGGTGCCACCCGCCAAATCCTCAAGCGCTAGAGTGCCGTCACGAGTCTGTTGCTCCAGCGTAGCCAGCGTCGTTTCAATGTCCTTTACACTCAGCTTTTCAACATTTCGGATGACAGGCATAACAACGCTAAACATTACAATTATAAACATAATTAGTGTCAAATGACAGAACCTTCGTTGACTGTCGATATAACTCACCCGCGTTCGGAAGCGATGGCAACGTTTATATCAACAAATTCATTGTAGATAATCTCTTTGTTTTCCATATCGACAACTTGACATTATGAAAATGCACAACAGCACCACGAAATTAGATATCAAACCGAGTTGAATGAAAGTTTAACCAGATCCATACTTACAAGCGTTTGCCGACGGAATCTGCCTGAGGGCCTGCGCACTAGCTTTAACAAACGATGATAAGATGCCAAGTTTCAATCCGTGAGTCTTTTCAAAAATCGGGCCAAGTTCGTCGCGTAATGCAATTAAATTGCCCAAATCACACTCTTGAAAGGTTGACAATATGGCAGCGGAGTTCTGCGTGTCCTTCAGTCGCTGTGACGCACGGACTTTTAGTGCACTCATCTTCACGCGAGTTTCGTTGCGGTTGTATCGGCCCTTAGTAGGTGTTGGAGGCGCGGCAGGAGCAGTCGAGACAAGTTTGGAAGGATCGGATGGTGAGAGTGGGGCAACTTGTGTTGATTCAGCAAAGGCAGAAACAGGAGTAGCCTTTGAAGCAGTAGCTTTGGCCGGTGCCGATACAGCCTTGTCGATAATGAAAAGAGGCGAGCCGACTTTGACAACATCGTCAATCTTCGCCAATATCTTCTTAAGCTTACCTGATACTGAGGCGTTGACGTCTACGCTCACCTGTTTTTATATTTGAGGTTTGCTTTCTATTTAACAAATGACGAACAACATTGCGTTTGATCTTTACCTTATCAGTCTCTACAACAACGACGGCTTCATCAGCATGAACATAGTCATCGATCTCTGTAGCAACATGGTTCGACAAATGTATAGCAAAATTTTAATACAGCACCAACACAATATCTTTATACTCACGCTTGAGAATCGTCACAACTGTGCCCTCCGAGATAGAATCCCCCATAGACGGAACTTTGATAGTCTGAAAATCCTCACCAGCTGACTCTGGTGAGCCAGCCGTATTTTCCTTATACTCGACAACAGCTGATGTGTTGCCAGTATCCTTCTTCGCCACGCTAAAAAGCGGAGCTCCTACCGATACGTTCTCGTCGACCTGGGCTAGTTGTGCTTCTAATACACCGGAAAATGGCGTGCGCACGTCAACGCTCACCTTATCAGTTTCAAGCACGACGACTACCTCGTCTGTCCCCACAAAGTCACCGGGAGCTGCACCAGAGCAGCATCAAAATATAGCAAAATATTCATTGCCACGACAGAATGTTCTATACCTTTCAACCACTCAACCACTGTTCCCTCTGAGATGGAGTCACCCATAGAAGGCACGGGTACCGTCTCGGAGGCAGCTGTTCCAGCGATCAATCATGAAAATATCAGCAATCAATTGGGATCTCATGCTGGAGTTTGGTATTTATACGACCGTACCGGACGAAAATGCGCGAGTTAATGGTGTTAGTAAGCTATGTAGAGCATATATCATTTGATATGAATCGCCGAATCACCGTATAGAAACCCTAAATTGCGCACCTCTTGCTTTGCGGCACGGATCTATTCACGAAGGATAGTGCATTCATATGACACTGAGCAGTAGGTGCGGCTTGCGAGTGCACAAATTTAGTCAAGGTGCTTGCAGCATAACGAGCAATGAGGCGGCTGCAGCGTACGCTTCTACTCAGGGCCTGAAAGCTCATGAATCCACTCTTCTTGACTTTACTAGCTTTTCCCTACTCCGCGTATCGTACACAAGTTGAGCTATTAAAGCTTTCTTTTTGTGAGGGCACGATTTGACATGATTATAGGAAAGGGGCTTGATCATTTGTGTGATGCTATCCAAAATGAACAATATTTCAAAATATCTTAAACATTTGTTTAGGCATGCCATTAATGCCAGGGTCCCCTTGCCCACGACCAGGCACACCCACACCCCAGAACGAAGATGATGGCGTTTATCGTTCCTTGTTTCAGCAACCAGTAATGGATATTCCACCGACTGCACCATCCTACGCTTGGTTTGAGTTTCTTCTTCACCCGGAAGCACTTCAAAAGCACGTACGTAGGCGTTCCATTCATTCTGCAAGTACGTATATTAGCGTATAATTGACTCGAACAAATAGCTGTCCACTCTTCGTCAGCAAAAAGATCATGATACACATTGCGCTACAAGTGCCATTGAACTGGTACGCGAGTTTTTGGACCAAGCACAGCTCGTGGCAGACGAGGGCAACGTGCGCAATAAACGCTATAGTGCGTTGCTGCTCGTGGCTGCCCAAGTTGTAATGCAAATGCAGTTGTCGCTGTCTGACATCGAAGAAGCACTACCTCTGCACTACCAGCGGCTTTTACTCGATGGCATCGTAGACCTTGCCGAGCAGCCATCCAGCAGCCACAGCACTTTCAAGACCGAAACGATTATCAAGTCGTATGAAGCTCATTTGCTGCACAAGCGCTGGACGCTGCGTACGCTTATAAACCAGTCACTAAATGGTTTTCTGACCTGCAGCACTCGTAGCGAGGGCGAGGAGATCTCAGCTACATTTCAGATGGCGCTGGGCGATCTCATGGCTAGTCACTTACAGATTGCTCAGAGCATTGAATCTATCTTATTGAGCGAGGAGAAGCAAGCACTGTCAGTGAAGACACAGCTAGAGACTTGGTATGATCTTGGTAGATATTTTTTCAGCTTTACTGGATTCGAAAAGGCCTACAGTTGTTTTAGTCGAGCTTCCGAGCTTGGGAGAAACAACGAAAATGATGACCAAGACATTGGAGTAAGGGACAGCGCAAAGCTATTTTCAGATATCCAGTCAAATTTGGAAGGATACCTTTCGGCATGTGCAGCAGTGCTGGAGGTGCAGTCGGTCAACGAAAGTCCCGCAGTATTGAAGACCCCAAAAATACAAATTGGAATAGCCTGGGAAAGCCAAGATTGGGACAAGGTAATAGAAATACTTGAAAATGATCTTGTAGCTTCAGAGCCTATGAAGCTACCACAAGGCTTTCGTGCCGCGCTAGAACAACAGGCACTTAAACTTTTACGGTCTATCAGCAACGAAACGATGCAGACTGGCCTGCAAATCGTAAGCCATACCACTCGATATTTGTACGAACGGATTGTATTGGAAAATGCAGTGACGGGTCTTCTTTTCGAAAATGGTGAGGATGAGGTTACCACAGTCGAGAATTGCATCTGTATAGGCATCCGTTTGCTTCAGGATGATTCATTCTATTCTATAGTTCAAGGCGCCAGTACCGATGAAGTCGCTAAAAATTGTCTTACTGCACTAGCGCTTTTTGTGCTGCAGCTTAGTGAGTTTGCGACTTTAAAGGCGTCCGACGATCGTGCAAAGAAAAGGATCAAGCAGTTTGTCTCACAAGTGGTTCGCCACCTTCCCTGCATTAAGGACTTAACGGGAAATTCGGCATATTCAGGACATTTTGGTAATCTTGATGGAATGGAAAGCTTAGTATCCTTATCCTCTGCGGAAAGTCTGGACGGACATGTGAGGTTGGAGAGGCACCATGTTACGGCAGCTGCCAAGCAAAAGAAACACTTTCGTTTAATGGCTGACATGGGGAGCATATTTGTGTTTCCTAGCGCCTATGAAAGGGACTCTTTTGCCGTGACGCTTCAGAAGGAACTGGTCGAACTAGCCAAAAGCGTTGACGGGGCGCAAGCAGACGATATGATTAGTCGGAATCTGATTACATTTTGTACGGCAAACAACTGCTGGGATATCTTATCGCAATGGTCAAATGCAAATGTAGTATCAAAACAAATGAGATGCGACCTTAACTTTGTGGTGGCTTGCGGCGCGCTGGTTCAGTACTTGTCATCTTTAATGGCATCACATCTTTCAGCAAATGGCACAACTGGCAGCGTTGCCTTGTTCGTATCAAGTCTGAAGGAGAACGCCGCGTTTTCCATCTCAGCAAGTAATAAATTTATGGCTGAAATACTGTTGAAATGGCGCGAATTGACAAATACAGTTTCCACTGGTCTATCGAAGGTCCCTGACACCGAGCAACAAAATCACGACAGATTTATGGTGCTCATGGGTTTGCCTTTGTGGGTCGTGGAGATCCTGGTATGCATTTCTGCAGGGTTGCTGCACCGTGCCTATATGTGTAACACGTGTGACTACCGTGTATCTTTTGACCTGAATCCCTACGGTGAACTTGCGTATTTGGCGGCATTTGCACCAGATGTATCTTTGATGCCATTGGAAGCTAGTGCTGCAAGCACTGGAAGCTCGGACGAGCAGTTTGCTACTGTGCCTTTTGTGAAGCATTTTCAAGTGGATTTGGTAGAATTGCATTCAAAAGCCCTTCAAACTTTAGTCAGCCGTTGTGGCCGTGAGCCAAGATGGCATTGTGCTAAGGCTGATCTACTGCTTAATCCGCTGACAAAGCAACGTTTAGCTTCAACCTCTGGTGAGTTAGAAGTTCATTCTGTTTAGATAGTTATGATGGCAATGGTTTAACATGATTTGCTGTCGACAGATCCTCGCGCTGCTCTTGAAAGCTATCTAGTGGCAGCCTTGCTGGCAACTAATTTCTTCTCAGATATGATTTCCGTGGTTGATGTAATTGATCAGAGCTCACTTGTCCGTTTGGTACGTGCCCTCTATACCTGCTTCATCTGCGTTGCCTCACTTTGTTTTTCGTTCATACAACAGAGCCAATGTCTTGTCAAGATTGGGGCGCACGTTGCAGCCGCTGTGCTTTACCAGTGTTTTGCGCCTGAAGAGTTTAAGTACGGCCTTCGAATTTTGCGCCTGGCTCCAGAATGTCACGATGAAGGCTTTTATCAGTACTTCTGGCAGGTATTTTCTTTACTTATTACCGCGCAAATTTTCGTGCCCGTTTTATAAAACACTTGGATATGAATGCAGTTGCCATTTCTTGAGTTACTGGTGGACCTGCACTCAAGATTTAATCACCCTAATGATAGGTTGGTTTACAATTTTTTGATGAGCTTAGTGCCGTAACTGACACATATAATTCCAGACATGTGACGTTGCTCACAAATTTGATTCAATCACCCGAATTAAATAGCTCAAATCCGACTCCAGTTGTGAAAGACGCCGAGCAGCGCATTCTTCGTTGTTATTTTCGGGATCTTTGTCGATTGTATCTCTGCGAATAAGAAACTGGCAATGTGTAATGATTTTCTGCATCCGGTTTTCGTCTTGCATAGTCTCTCTGCTATGTGTAGCAGCGGCGAACACTTGATGCGAGAATGGAAACACCATCAAATTACACAAGCTCAAGCTCGGGTTGCGAAACATTGACACTGGATGGTAGAATGAAACAGTTTCTAACTATTTTCTATAAAGCCAATCGTAGTTGTCAACTATAATTAGCACGTGACAGCGAGATACAACAAACAGAAATACCAAAGAAAAAATTGCGGTGATGTCGACCACCACGACGCCCAAAAATCTGCTGCTTGGAGCGTCTAACTATGATCCACGGCTACGATCGTATTTAAAGCCTCAGCGCTTTAAGCTTGTGGAGAACTCTTTGCGACTGGACAGCACCCTTAACCAGATGAGTCCATTGATGACTCGATTAGACCTGAGAGAGCCTGAACGCTTTGAGACTACTGCCAGTGACTTTGGAAAAACGGTAAAAGAGGATTGCAAATTTGCGCCGCAAAATGTGCGTCAAGTGCTGCGGTTTCAAAGCTTTTACATCGAGAGCGTTGACGAGAGCAACTTGGAAGTAGTCCGATTACGCAAGAATACTATTTTGTTTTACTTGCACGATGAAACGTTTGAGATTATTGAGCCTCGAGTTCAAAACAGCGGTATACCACAGGGAACGTTTCTTAAACGCTGCCAACTTCGTCACCCAGGCGGTGAGCTGTACTCATCTTCTGATTTACGTATAGGCTTTGACCTGCATGTATTTGGACGCTGTTTCAAGCTGTACGACTGTGACGAGTTCACGAGAGAGTATTATGCTCGGAATGGTCAAGATGTTGGCTCACCGCTTTCTTTGCCAAAAGACGAGTATACGATCACTCGTGACCAAATCACACGGATGTGCGGTGGGGACTCCGAGCATTTTTACGGAAAGCAGCGCTATCCACTGAAGACGTACATGGAAGCATCATTAGGCAACCCCATTCGTTCACGTTTGCAGTCGGAGAAGAAGCGCAAGTTTTTGGCCAACAACAGCAAAGTGTTGTGCTTCCATTGTGAGTACGACGCGCGCGATCAACTCGACGGTGAACTTATGTCGTACACGCTCAACTACTTTCTCGAAGACGACACGATGGAGTTTAAAGAAGTAATGTGCTCCAACAATGGCCGCGATCCGTTTCCCCTACTGCTTCGTCGTGCTCGGCTTCTTAAAAATTGGCATCAGCACTTAACGGACGAGCAAGACCGCGGTGTCGAAGAACCTTCTCGTGCAGAGAATTACTACGGGGAGGCGGACTTGTACGTGGGTGCGGTGCTTAACGTCTTTGGTAGATCAATGCGTCTTGTAGACGCAGACAAGTACACACGCGACTATTATGAGATGGCTTGGGGCCGCGTACTGGAGCCTGCGATGCCTACAAAGGCTGACAACGTTGCAATCTGCAAACCAGAGCCAGCACCGTATAACGGTTATGGCACAGAGGAGGACTCACTGGGATCGTGTTATTCGCTACGCCCTAAGGCACCACGCAAAGATTTCAAGAAGATGGCCGAGTTTGACCGCATGCTGCTGCGATTTCGCGCGCGAATCATCTCAAGCCGCAAAGAGCAGCAGCAGCGTCGCTTTATTGTTTCATACTTTTTGACGGATGATACGATTTCGGTATATGAGCCGGAGCTAAGGAACTCAGGTATTGTGAACGGCAAGTTTCTCGAGCGTGGCGCGTATAAGAACCGGGAAGGCGTGCGCTATAGCCTCATACACTTGGTGGAAGGTGCGGAGCTTGTTTTGAACTCCCATCGCTTCCAGTTGCTTGACTCTGACGAGTACACCAAGAAATTTCTCGCTTCGTAAAAATCTGAATTTAAGATAAATATTACCTTCAAACACTGTCGCTTTAAATACCATACGTAACTCAGCTTCAAATATTCATCACATGTCAAGCTCAACGCCGATCGTCGTTGGCGTAATATTCCCCGCCAAAAAAATCGCGCGACTGCAAGAAGTTCTGGACGAGGAAGACAGTGATGTCCGTTTCGTTCTAATCGATCTGGAAGCTGTAACACCCACGGGCGACTTTGATTCTGAAGCTGATGTGGAAGCCGCGGCCGAGCGCTTTGCTGCGCAATACGGACCGCTGAACGCTTTGCTTCACAAGCTGGCACATGATATGGTGTTTGCTAAGTTGGGGGACAAAAAAGCGTCTAATCGAATGCGATTGGTGCAGCACTATCTGCAACGTCATCCATCCTTACGCGTAGTAGACCCCATCGACAGTGTGCGACTGCTGACGGACCGCTACGCGGCTTGCATGATGTTGCAGAACATGGAGCATAAAAATAGCGGGAAAATCCAACGCTTTAGGGTGCCCAAGTTCCATAAAGTTGATAACTTCGAGCGATATGAAAGACTGTTGAAGGAAGTAGATGCTGGACTTACAAGACTTCCGCTTATCTGCAAATCTGTCGAAGCCTGCGGTGTGTAAATGGACAGCAATGGTGTCGAGAAAACTCAAGCTAATGCATACTTTTGCTGTTCATTCAATTTTGTGTAATAGCGACAGACCGTTCGCACATGATGAGTGTCATTGCCAAGCGCGAAGACCTACGTTACGTCGAGTTTCCCACGTTATATCAGGCAGGCAATCATCTACTCTTGAGTTATATAATTATGCTGATTTTACGCGTTTCTGGGAATGCAGGAATTTATTAACCACTCGAACCGCCTTTTTAAAGGTTACGTAATTGGCGACACGATAAATGTCGCTGAGCGTCGTTCGCTACCAAACATCGTGGCTGGATCAGCGCAACAAGTGCATTTTAACACACAACAAGATTACCCTACTGAACTAGATTTTCAATCGCATGTCGACGAAAGCGCGCAAACAAATATCAATGATGGGATGACGCAGCAAGAAATTTTTGAAGCTGTGCAAGCTATTGGCAGTGAACTTCGTGACGAGCTGGAATTGACGCTATTTGGCTTTGACGTCATTGTAGCTGAAGGTAGCATGGGCTTTTACGTGATTGATGTCAATTACTTTCCATCTTATCAAGAGCTAAACGACTTTGGTGGTATGCTGCGGAAACACATCAAGCAATTGTGCTGTCGTCGATAGATATGCGGTCCACTTTTTCGCGTGATTGAGTACTCGCACATGGATTCACAAAGTACAGAAAATCAAACAAGATACGATGAGGTTTAATTTTTCCCAAAAGCAATGATTCCTTCAGTTGTGCAGAATTAATTTTACACTATTCAAATGAGAAATTTGTCCACTTGCGTTCGTATGTATCACCCTCGGCTTATAGCATTCTTATACATCGTGCACCTTTCACAGAGGAAGCTTTGACTCAAAAGATCCGCGTGAGCAAACACACAGAAGATAAATTGTACGCTCCACTTACTGAAAGCTGTAGTGACCAGCTATGTGGACCACACTGGGGTTCACACATTGTTTGTCATTGCACGAAAAGAACACTAGGAGTAAACTCCACACTTAGCACTCGACAATGTCTGCTCCTCAGATTAAAACGTCCCTTTTCGAACACTCCATCACATCTTTAAATCAGTATGTGGTGAAGATGCCGAGACGTTCTTCAATGAAAACGGTTACAACTCCTCTCCGATTTCTGACCCAACACCTACGTCCTCACCTCAAGATATACGGCAGAGCTGCTCATAAAGGAAAAAACGCTTGCATTACATTTGCACAAGTTAAAAACCCCGTATCCTTTCTCTACGATGGGAAGGATTGCGACAACCTGTCGTGAAGCTAATGACGATATCTGGCTCATCCCCGTCGAGTTCAGGGCGCCCAGCTTATTCGTCTGCAAGCGCAATTTGTCACTTCAACTCTTTTCAAAATCATCTCGTCATGACTATGTCATGACGAGATGATCTTGGAAAAAGATAAAAGACGTTGCTCGCCGCGCTGCGGCGGATCTCTTACACGCCTTTGCATACGGGCCTATCGCACATACCGAGAATAAACGAGCCACAGAAAGCCACTCCGTGGTTACTTTTTAACTTCACATGTCACCGCTCCTCATGAGTACCATCTAGCAGTAGTGGTGAAATCCGTAGCGCTATACCTTGGGCACTGAAAGCAAGCGAGGGTTCCGAGGAGTATAGAAACTCAATCTGTGTACTGAACGAGGAAAATGCGTCGTCGCACCTGTCTCAAGGTTATGTAAGCCAGGATCGTAAAGACAAAGTTCGACTTGAGCGCCGCATGCTTGACTTCAGGATGTACAAAGCACAGCGCGGTGACACGGGACAGATGATTACACGCACTTTTGAGCTGAGGTAGTGTAACGGGGTTACACATACCTTGGTAACATGTGTGTCACACCAGATGGGCATGGTGTGACCACACCCAAACAAGAATACGGTACGGGGCTGAGTAGCCATTAGTTATACATGTATTTGGATTCTACTATACATATTTAGGAAAATCTATGCTGGCGGCTTTGCCGCAGATAAAAATAAAGTCAGTTTTCGAATCTAAACGTAAGAGATAATTAGCCTTGGGTTAAGGTTGTAATTACTCTTGGAAAAGCGGATTGCGATCCGCTAAACTCGTACTTGTTCTAAGTATTCAAGGTCGGTGACCTAACTTACGGTTCCTCTAAGCGCAAAGCTACAGCAGCTCCGCTGCAGGTAGTGTTACCTTGATGCTTAGTCCTCTAGTGTAGCTGTCATAACCGTCTCTCTAACCACAATCGTGTATGGATCTCTTGATCAAAAAAAGGTTGAATATAGATGGTTCTATCTTAATCCTAAGTTTAACCTAAAATTCGGAATCAATGTATGTAATTGTAACCTTTGCAAGTGTTCGCAGACTTGTGCCTGATAGAGAAAAAATGGAAAGTGAATTTAGGTCATCGTTTGTTGCCTACTCTAAGTCTGATACGACAGTCTGGCTCTAAACTGGTTGGTGTATTTCTATCTACAAGCATCCAAACATATTTTTACTGCAAAGTATCCACTGTTTGTCTTCCGCACAGTTCTGGGCGAGAGACACGTGAAGCTCGTCCACTTGTACCATACAACACGACGCTAGGTTTTTACTGATTGATTCCATAGGTTTGTCGATAACCTAGTGCCACAAGTCGAACCTTGTATCGCTCGATTTCACCATGCTCATTGTACTTGATCACAAACACCCACTTGATTTCTATCACTTTCTGACTTGGTTTCTGTTGCACCACTGACCGTGTTTTCTTTTCTTTCAACGCTTACAATTCAGCCTTGATCGCATCATACCACATCTTTGACTGCGGAGACTTTAATGCATCTTGATACGTCGCTGGAATTTCGAGAGTTGCATTCGCTTGTTCATATTCAAGACGATAGCGCTTCGAAGCACGTTCTACTTGTTCTTCATTTTTCCGTGGAATGATCGCGTCGGACCTTTGGACTGGAACTAACGTTTGAGGATTCTGGTGGTAGTTCAATCGGTGCAATGTACCTACCGCTTTGAGGCGATCGGATCAGAGGGGATTCAGGGATCCCTTCCAATCTCCCCCTGGGCACAATTGCCAGATTCGGTTCCACCTCGTTTTCACCCGATTTTCATATAGACATCATCAATATCAAATAGCGGGTCGGACTTATACACGAATTTTGGATGCTGGGAGGTTGTAACTAGTGTCATACTTGAACCGCTTGGAGGCACGTTGAACGTGTCGACTCCTGTTTGGTCTACAATCATTGGGTCGACATTACTGCGAGTCGATACCACAGGCACTTGTAGGCAATCTTCATCTTAATCATCATTTTGCATACGTTGAGAACTTTGATCACCACTAACGACTTGCACGAACTTCGATCTTAGTAGATCTTGAAACACAACTGAACGCGTTATCTCTACTCGCTTCAACTCGAAGTTCCATACACGATATCATTGAAGTTGATCCGAATACCCCAAAACATACACTTGTATGTTTTCTTGTTCAAAAACTCGCATGTGTGAGAGGTTAAATCTTTTACCGAAGCACACTTCAATAGGTATTTTTTTCTGGGTGGGCGGCACACGGAACTCGGTTGGTCACATATACTGCAGTGTTCATAGCTTCGGCCCACCACTACATTCAACTTGCATATAATTTAGTATCGATATTGCTCGCTCCGTGATTGCTCTGTTCATCCGTTTTGCCATTCCGTTCTGTTCTTCCGTTCTGCCATCCCGTTCTGTTGTGGCGAATACGGAACCGCTCCTTGATGGATGATACCGGCCGTTTCAAACACTCCAGCAAAACGTTTGCTGATGTATTCGCCACCATTGTTGTTGCGAGTACAGCTGCGCTTGGCACTCAGTTGGTTCTACATCATTGACTTGTACTCGATAAATCGATTCACCACTTTCGATTTGTGGGCGATATAGTACACCGTAATGAGTCTCGAAAAATCGTCGATAAACGTTACGATGAACCTTGCCCCACCTTGAGACTTAGTCTCCATCGGACCCATCACGTCGCTGTGAAATAGTTAGAGCACTGAAGTGGTCTTCACTTCACCGTAGCTTGACTTTGGGAACGGCTTTACCGACGATTTGCCATTCACGCATTCTTCACAAGTGTCATATTTCTTGTCATTTTTGATGACAATCGAATCCTTTATCTTGAATCCATTAACGCACCCGTTGAGAGTCTTCATTGTCTTCATAGGCAAATGTCCCAATCGAGCATGCCACACACTTGTATCCACTGGTTTGGTATCCTGGCCCACCTCTTCGCTAATATTAGCAGTTCCACTGAATTACTTTCCAAAATAAACAACTTGCCCTTCTGGGTCACTCGAATCATAACTTCTTTATCATTCTTGATCTTACACAATGCTTTAGCGAATGTTACATGCAACCCTTTTTCAGTCAACACTGGAATCGAAAGAAGTCTTCGATCCAAATCTGGGACGTAAAGCACATCTCGATCCGAATTGGATTCTTGTTCTTCAGTATAACTCGGATCGTCCCAATTCCGGCACTTAAAATCTTGCCACCGTTTGCAACTGAAATGACAATCGGCTTGTCGAGTGGACGAGTATCATCAAACTCATCCTGAAATGGAAACATTTGACTGCTTGCACCACTTATCGGGCAGCCATCGATCAGAACAATGTTCACATCCCATGAAAGCCTGTTCGTCTTGTTTTCGTTGTTGTCTGAATTGTCCCAGCAGTCTTGCTTCCGGTGCCCATAACTATTGCATACGAAGCATTTTCCGGAAAATTTACCCTTTTTCCCTTTAGGTCGGGGCCTTTGCTCTTGAAGTCTCGAGTCACCGTAAGAGCAATCTCATTGCTCTCTTTTTGATTCATGCTTTCACAATCTCGACGTAGCGTTTCCTTGACTTGAAATAGATCTATTCTGGGCATGTTTTCGATGATCTTCACTATCGGGTCGTATTCTTCCATTAGACTTTCAAAAAGAATCACAAGTTGTTCATCTTGCGAAACTTCTTCACCGATGGCTTTCATTGATAGGCACAATTCATCAGACTTGAGAAAGTGATCCATTACATTTCCACTCTTTTTCATCTTGAAACCATGCAGTTGACGACGCATCTGGATTCGATTGTGGATGCTTCGACGACGGAAAAAAATCTTCGAAATCTCCCACGCTTAAGCAGTCGATTGTGCAGTCCGAAATATTAATTGTAAGAATAACCATCATCGACAGAATCGCGAAGGCCTTCATTACGTTGGTTCTCCATTCAGACGCCGCAGCGCCATCTTCACTCGGGGCCTTCGTAGTGTCGACGTGTTCAAGTAGCCCCTTCTTCGCGATCTTTATCCAAGCGTTGAACTCCCACACGAAGTAGTTATCTTCGCAGAGTATGGCGTTGGCTTCGGTCGTATTCGGGCTCATAACCTTTTGCAAGTGTTTCGCAGACTTGTGTCCGAGAGAGAAAAAATGGAGAGTGAATTCAGATCCTTAGTTTGTTGCCTACTCTAAGTCTGGTACGACAGTCTGGCTCTAAACTGGCTAGTGGGATTCTATCCACAAGCATCAAAATATATGTTTACTGCAAAGTACGCACTGTTTGTCTTCCGCACAGTTCTGGGCAAGAGACACGTGAAGCTCGTTCACTTGTACTATACAACACGACTCTAGGTTACCACTGATTGACTATCATCAACAGTAACCAATTACTAATAAGCGTAGTACACACTAATTTTATTCTTAGCTAAGTGTGAATCACACAAAATGTGAAATGGGCCTACCCTACCGCTCACCCATCCCTACTCAAAATGGGACATACAGACATACACATATCCCAAAATAACAGGGGTACCTAAAAGAAGAATTTGACCACTTGGGATCAAGAGTGGAGTGACAGACGTCGGACATGACATTAGTTAAAAAACGCAGAACGGCTTCTTTTAAGCCTGCGACACGCTTCCACCCGGACAGTTCCGCTTCATGTGATCAACGCTAAGACTTTCAAGCCACTTGCGCTTGAAACTACTCCTGGAGCCATTTTCTTCTAGTCCAATACCACGGTTTCCCCTGCACCATCCACTATTACCATGAAGAGAAAACTTTTCTCTGTCGTTTTTTTTCAACCGCTCTTTTAGCAACTCCTCCTTCTCTTTGAAAAGCGTAATGATTTTGGTATTCTCTATAATAGACACAATCAGCTCGTACTCCATCGGAAGGCTGCTCGGCAACACCACTAGCTGCTTTGAATCATCAACATTTCTCCAAGTGCTTGGAGACCGACAGCCAGCTCATCGAAGACATCTAGGAATTCTAAACATTGTTAGCCACTCTCCATTCCAGAGTTATGAAGACGGCGTATCATCTCGACACGATTGTGAAGTGTGGTCCACCCACTGAACATTCCAAGCGTGCACAGCCGTCGTCGCAGAGTGCATCTTGGTCCGATGCCTCGGGCAATCGTTCCTAGTGCCTTGGCATTGTTCAATTTAACAAGGCTTAGTCATCTGCTCTTTCCCTTGACGATTTGAGCATGCGCCAACAACCCCTTGCGCACCAACGTCATGCGCATGTTAAACTCCCAGCAAAAGTAATTTTCAGTGCCCAGGTGGACTTCGAAACACCTGGACGTCATTGTCGTGCGGAGGTGCGGCGTGCTGGGTAGTAATCTCATTGACCTGTTGGCTTGTTCGTAAAAATCGAAGTGAATATATAAATGGTCGTCAGTTCGCATCTCTGTGCTACCACTGAGCCTACTGAATGTCACCTTATTTATTTAGATTAATGAACACTTACCACTAACCGTAATCATATCCATACGTATTACTGTATTCATCGGTTGTTCCGTACATGCATCATAACAATGGTTCAACGTGTACGTTTTGACGTAGTTGGTAGCCCCATGGAGCACAAAGCGCGTACGTATCTGACTTGAGCACATGTGAATACATTGCGAAAGGTTACTTTCTTCATTCATGGCTTGGCCATGATCTTAAGCCTAAAGCCCAGCCCATTGCGGATCAAAATTTAATCTCCACATGAATTTGATGCACACGGTGGAAGGTTTGATGCAAGCCGCATCTGCGCAATAGATACGATAATTGTTACGATCCCGAATTGCGTCAGCCTCCATAAGTTTTCTCTAGTTTGGGATGAAGTCCTCCAAAAATTGTCCTCATGTGGTAAGCAAAAACTACACAGTGCAGATACTCGTGGATTCTATTGTGACGTGGTAGCCAACTGCTTGCCATAAACCAGAAGACGATCACGCCAAATTTTACATAAGATCAATTTTTACATGTCTTATCTCAAT